TTGGCAGTAGGGCTGGAATCCGAGAGATGGATTTCCCAAGCGATTTTGAAACTAGATAACACGCGTCGGTGCCTCTTCCTGGTGCAACATTCAATTCAAGCCATCCCATTTTATCACCGGGGCTTCGCTTTTCTCCCTGTCAGATTTGTGAAACGACCGATGCCCATGGGGCCGCGCTTACGCTCTCGCTCTCCCTTCTCTGTCCTTTGTACCTTGGGCTTTCTGGCACCTCAAACTGTGCTGAGAATAAGGTCGTATAATCTCCCGAGCTGCAACTTCGTCCGTCCTTCCTTCTCTTGAGCAATGAATTCCGTGCTGTTGGGTTTGGCCAAAAGGGTGGAGTGAGGTGAGGCAGACCGAGCTGATCTTGTTGCCACTGATAGAGCTGGCTCTGCTCTTCGCGTTCCTCCCCTCCTCTTCCTTACCCCTCTCCTGGCTCCCCGGCCCTGCTTCTCATTCCAAGTACTTGTGGCACTCAGCTGATTGTTTACCAAGCTTCAGCTTTCAAGGGGAAGAGAAAAAAAAGAATCTCACTGAAGGGTGCAAAAGCAGGGGAAAAGAGGACACTTGCAACATGTCCTTAGCGTGTCTGTCTCTTAATTCTTTTAAATTCTTTTAAATGCCAATCTAGACAGAGAGGCAGCAGAGAAGATTTGCGTCGGCTTCTTTTTTGTTCTCATTGTGACGAGGTGTTCGAAATGCAAAAGCCTTTCGCTTGATTTTTCTAATTATTTCTGAAGGTTTGAGCGAAGAAGGTCTTAATTACAGAGAACAATATCGCTAGTATTACAGAAGAATGGCTCTCCAGTATTATAATGGAGAATAGCGTAATATTTCATAAGAATATGTTAAAAGTGCTATTATCTTGATCAGAATTTGCATACTTTGTATGTGGCATTTTAATGTCTTGCAGTTCTGTCAAGGGTTAGGGCTGGCTTGGCTGCTAAATGAATGCTAAATGCTCTCTAACCCTTCTCCCTCCTCAAACGGGAAGGAAAAGGAAATGAGGCCAAGAGACCTACAGACTGGAAAGGGAAACTAAAAGAGAGTTCAGGGAAGCGTTAAGGTGATTGTTCAGGGCTAAAGAGAATTTTCTTAGGAATTATGTCACCTGAGCTCAAGAGAAACAGCGAGGTATGTATTTCAGTTTGTCTAAGATAGTGAGACTAGATTTCGGGATCCAAGCGGTCTTTACCAATTCCTCTTTTCCAAGTAATCCACTGTAAAAACTGGAAATTGAGATTTCCTTTTTTGCCACAGGTGTGTCCTTTCTTTTGTTCTAGCAAGTGTGTCTTTCTGAAGCTTTGTCTACAAGAAGTCTTCCCGATTAACAACTTGAACTGTGTTTAGGAGACAAGATATTACGAGATTGGTCAACAGAAGTTCATGGGAGTTACAGAAATAAACGGTGTATCCAAATGCTGGTTTTAAGTGGTCCTGCCACAGCTTACGTTTGCTGCTTTTGATGAGGAATTAAGATGTTTTCCAGCACCGTCGGACCTGCTGTAGCTAGTGGAGAAGCAGGTTTCTGGAGCGGTCCTAGATGCCCACGCTGCGCGTGCCCCACCAAGGCAGTGAGAGGTGACGAGGGGAAAAACAGGCTCAGGATTTTACAGGGCTTCTGGGTTCGAACCCAGCTGTCTTAGCTCTTCCTGACTTCCACTTGGGCCTGGAAATCTGACTTCACATTTCTGAAACTCTGCAAACGTCGTCTCTTTTGAGCTCTGCTGTCGCTGTGGCATCCTTCACCTTTGCGCTTAATCGCTGCCGGCGAGCGCTCGCTGTAGTGATTCACAGCTGCTCCAGGAACTAGGTGTGAGAAGCATTAGCGAGCGGTTCCCAGCGTTACAGGAGTTTCTGTATTTCCTTGTGCGAGGCTCCTTCTTCCCTGTGAACTTTCCCTTGAACTCCTCAAAAAGCTGGAGGAGCGCCAGGTCGTGCTAGTTCACAAACAGGGAGAACATTTGCAGTCAGTGTCCAAAACGGATCGGAAGCATCTACACAGAAGAAATAAATTAAGAGATGAAATGCAGGTATTTAAATGAACAGGTTCCTCTCCAATAGCTCACAAATAATTGCTTTTAAAAGTGTGGTGTCAAGAATGCGGTGGGCTCAAAAACCAGTTGCAGAATAATAATTCTTGTTGCTACTTGCATTTTAATCAGTCCATCAAGTGCGGTCCCGTTCGTGTGCTTTACGTCATTGTAGCCTGGCGTCGCCAACTGCTTGACGCTTGTTGTTGTCTGACTTATTTTTCTGGTTCGTAAATGCGAGTTCAGTATCTGTTTGTTTGGTTTTTTACGCAACCTAGATACCGCGGAGAAGGGATAATTAAGGAAGTCCCCAGTAAAATTATTCCTTTTATGTATCTTCCTGAATATCGAAGCAAGTGGGACAAAGCCCTACAATCTTACAAGCTGTTAGAAAGGATTGACCAGGTAACGTGATAACTTAAGACGAAGTTTTTCTTTGAACTCTTCCTGCATGAATCGTGGTGGCTAAAAACACCTCTGCTTGGGTGAAGAAAGCTCTTAACGTAAAATACATCGGGGCTTGGTGTAAAAACTTCTAAACCCTGTGAAATGAGTATGAAACGTGGCCTTCCCCTCAGAGTTAAATATTGAGGGCAATTTAAAAATCAGAGCAAATTTATTTATTGTGAAATAAATGGCCTCAGACGTGTCAAGAATTCAGTCTGTGGAAAACAACTGGATTAGGAGAACTGTTTTATGCTAACACGTACTCATTAATCAACGTGGAATGCTACTTTGCCGACAAAAAAAAACTTCGCTTCTTACCTACTAATTCCAAAAATTCCCTTTCCTTGCTCGTAGGACACGGGTATATACCACAGTGTGACGCACAGTTATGGGATGGGGCTGATCTCCTCCAGAGATTTCGTCGACCTGCTGCACGTTAAACTGTACCCTGGCGGTGTCCTTACAACTAACTGTAAGTTGCGTGTAACTGCTGTGTGTTTGCGTGGAAATCCCGCAGCCTCAGCGCAGCGGGGAGCATTTTGCTCCCTGTGTGGTCTTACTGACGTTACCAATCCTATTTATACCCCAAAGTTTGGTTTTTTTAATAGTAAACTATTAAAATTGATCGTCAAGGAAGATCTTATATTCTCCTGTTACGCCTCGCTTTGAAAAATTGAAAAATGCGGGGTATGCTTGCCCAAACCTCTAGAAATTTTCACGTGTGGAGTGACTTGCACAAATATTTAATGTCCTTGAGGTGGTTTGCGCACAGAACGGAGTCGCCGAATTCATCAGCGACTGTATTGCGAGATCTTGTACTGCCCTGTAGCAGTGGGTTTGGTTTTCAAAGGTATTTTAAGTATGATTGACATCTAAAAACATATTTTGATTTTGTGCGTGGTGATTTCCAGCGATCAGCGTGGAATACTCCAGCTGCCCTCCAACTCCCTCTTGTGTCCGAGGTTATAATAATCCCTGCGGATACGTGTGCTCGCCTTTGCCTGAGTAAGTATTTAAAACCTCCTTCTGGTAGCATTTTTCATTACTCAGTTGTCTTCTCGCTTAAAATTCACCGAAGCCCCCAGCTTTTTGAAAAAAAATTTGGAGTTTAATTCTGGGGAAACCTGAAGAGGTTGATACTGATAATTTTGTGACTTTTGAAACTTTACACCTCCTCCACTTTTCCACATAAGTAATTTCAACGAATTGACAACAAATTGTAAATGTTTCTACGTGTCACCAAGATTCAGAGCAAGGGAGACGAGTGTTAACTGAAGGATTTTGCTCTTTTCGTGACAGGAATCCAGAGCATTCCAAGCTGGTTGTATTTATTCAGCCAGAACTAGGAGGAATGCTTCCAGGTTCCGTAGTGGAGACAGCATTACCTACTACTCTCATAAACTTAATCACTGAAACAAGAGCTGGACTCAAAGGCTTCAAAGACCGTAATTAAACGTAAGTGGAAAAATAATAAGCACCTAAGGTCCGTGCATCTTTTACCTGCCTTCATTTTTACAGCGGATGATGAAGTTGATTTTAATTGTGGGGTGTACGGAAAGAGATGAAGCTTAACCGTTAAAACGGTGAACGCTGGTTTTCTCTGTTCTGGGGAACGCCACAAGAATTCCCGCTGAAGGGCCATCGAAGTACAGGGTGTTGCTTTCAACGTGAGCAGGTGATGTTTTGTAGTATTTTTGCACTTTATATGCAGAGAATATATAAATATATATATACGACACGTAAGAATCTGGTGATGGAACTTACAGCAGTGGAAAAACGCGGTAATTAAATATTTTGCCATAGCTTTAAACGGGCTTTGCGAAATTTTTACCTCAGTTAGGTACTCTTCACTGACAGGAGCAAACATCTTGTGTTCTCGAGACTTTAGACATGTTTATTACCTGTACGCGTGCGAGTGTAATTATCGACTATTTTGCTGGTTTGGAAGGAAATATTAGAAGGAAAGCCTGATGAATTTGTATATAGCATCTCATTAAAAGCTGCTCTTTCTACGTGGCATCATTAGTCATTCTCTGCCTTCTGAACACCAAACCCAAACCATTTTTATATGCTGACTAATTTCCCAGGAACAAGCTGGTGATATGATTCAGTTGGAAGAAATGCTTCCCGTTAGCCATTAGTATTTCTGCTATCTCTGGTTACAAGTTAACTGCAGGAAATACTCATAACCATGGTTTTTTTAACAGTGTAACTCAACAAAAAATTACAGTCAATATCTCTTCCCTTCGGTCAGCGTGTTAAAGTATTCACAGTGAATACTGAAACACGTTTGCACGCCGCTGGGTTTTTAGGACAAGGCAAGATTCGTCAGATAAATGTCAACTTAGGGGAGAGAAAAATCAAGAGAGACTCATGACTACGTAAACAGAGTCACCAGCAGCTTCTCATGTCAAAAGTTGCCAAACTAGATTTTGAATTTTTACAGCTTTACAACTTCTAGGAAACTCAAAGTGCTTTCAAGTGCTGATTCGTACAAGTGCCCCCGCTATGCAAACTGTTTCACTGCGGTTTAAAATATCTTAGCAAACTGTTAGACGGCGAGAAACGCGGCGCTGTGCTCCTCCTGCCTTTGTTCGCTTTCGGCTTTTCAGCGGGTTTAGCCACGGAAGCTTGGGACGCCGGTTCCTGACTCTTCCACTCGGCTAACAGTTCTTTTTGCACATCTGCAGGTAGTTCATAAAAGGTCTTTGTGTCGATGTCGGGAGGAAAGCCAACTCTTGTTTGCCTACTGCAAATTTCAGCCTCCAAAGTTGGTCCAAACAACTTCTCTTTATCCGAGACGGGCACACGCAGAACAGCCTGGCTGGTTCCAGCTTCCGGAGCTGACGGATCTGTCCCTCGGACGTTCAGGGAGTCGGAAACGTTCTCAGTAGGGAACGCTTCTGTGTTTTCAGAAAGGATTTCTTTTTGAATATCTTCTGGAAGCTGCCTGAAGACTTCCTGGTCGATGTCACCAGCAGACAAATGGAAGGGGAAGTCACGAATTCCAGCTTCTTGTGTATTGCTTTGCTTTTCCTCCGAAAGCTTCCTTGTTTTTGTAGTTCCAGTTCTGTTGCAGTTCTGGATGCAAGAAGCACATCCCTCATCAACTTGTGAGGTATCTCCCACTTCCTGTGGCAAAAACCATACAGAAAAGAAGCACGAGTATGATCTGTGTAACCTGCTAGTGACCAAGCACTATTTCCTCAAATTACTCCTTAACAGACAGTAATTGGGTTTTTATCTCTGATTATCTCCCCGTCTGAACAGAGAGGCTTGAGAACGCTTCGGAAGGCAACGAATCTCTGTGGAAGCCTCTTAATAAAAGCCACAAGATAAATGATGAGCAAGTTCAAGGAGATTTTAGTCTAAGATGCTTCAGCACGACACTATCTGTTTCACAAACGCTTAAAAAAGGGCACATCGTACTGGAATGAACAGCCAAATTCAGCAGTTATTTTACTTTTTTTTTTTTAGAAGACAGTTTTTGCTATTTTTCAGCTTACCCAGAGACGTTTACCAGAGCCTGACGGTGCCGACACGTGCTTTAGGTAGAAACCAATTGATCCTTTCTTGCTGCTGGGAAGATCTTTGAGGTTGGAGAAGCAGACATTCAAAAGGGTAAGATGAAAGGGTAGATGAACATCTATCATCTTTCGGAAGAGTTTCATTAGTATATCAACCAACGGGGATATAATGTTGCTGCTTTCTAAAAGACAGGTAGAAAAAAAGGTAATTGTATATCTAAAATCAAAAATAACTGACTGAATAAGATTGATTTAAACAGCGAAGTCTGACAAGGATGAGAACCTTCACGTTATTTATTTCCAGAGGTACGCTGAAAGGACGTTTTATTCCATAATAAAACTCAGAACATAATTCAAATCCCTGACAAAGAAAAGCAGATTATTCATCTGGGGTGGAGCACCCAGTCATCCCCCAAGAAACTTACTGCCAGGAATCCAGACAAAGTTGGTTACACGGAGCAGTAACATACAAGTTATTCCTATAGTGAATTCTACCCGATTTTAGCATATCTTATTGAGATACATCCTTCATGAGTAATGGAAAAGTTAGAAATACTATTTTGGACTAATGTAATGAAATTAAGGAACGGAATTTTACAGAGAAGTGGTAGCAGCACGAAGTCGATAATTTCCAAAAATTCTAAGTTTACCTTTTCCAAATTTCTGGACGAGGTGAGGTGGAATAGAACACTGTCGACTTTCCCGATTAAACCATTTGTCGGTCGCGGAGAACTGACGGATGGTCAATCTTATGGTGTGTGGTTGTCTTCCATCCTTGGATATTCTGGGGAGCATTAACGTGCACAAAGCAAAAAACAAGACTACAAGTACTCCCTTTTTTATAAATTTAAGTAAAGAGCCTCACAGGGTAGAAAGCCACACGAGTCAAGATGTGAGTAAACGCATCCTCATGCTACGCTGGTGTTTTTGTCGAGTATCTTGGGCTTAAATACCGCCTGGTTTCACAAGGCAA